ATTTTATTTTTCAAACCATTATTTAGGATAAAAAATTTTATTTTATTTTTATTTAAAATTTTTTTTTCTATTTATTTAAATTTTTTTAAATAAATTTTTTTTTTTTAATTATTTTTATATATTTGTTATTTTTTTTAAATTTATTTTTTTAAATTTAATTTTTATTAATTTTTTTTTTTTAATTTTTTTATATTTTTTGTTTTATTTTTTTATTTGTTTTTGTATTTTTTTATACTTTTTTTATTTAAATTTTTTTTTATTAAAATTTTTTTATTTTTAATTTATTTTTTTTTAATTTTTTTTTTAATTTTGATTTTTTTTTAATTTTCCAAAAATTAAAAATAAATTTTCAATCCGACATAAGAGATTATATTTTGAAAATTTATTTTTAATTCAGATTTTGGAGATTACAAAAACAAAAAATAATAATTAGTTTAAATGGTCGTCTTTTTAATGCATTTTTGCAACCCTGTTTTATTATGAATAAACCTATTTATCATTATTCCTTGTTTTTTTTTTTTTGTTAAACAATAGCAGCCTTTTTTGAAATTGTTTTATTATAATTTAATAAAAAACATTTATTAATATGTGTCGACATACATACATATGTATAAATTGAACCTACAAAGTCAGCAAATCCACTTTTAAGCGGATAAAACCATTAAGAACACAATATTTCATCACAGCACTGTACGGATGTATGTATATAAGTATATGTACATATGTACTGTGCATCTGTATTGTATATATGAATTCATAATGCTTACTAATAACTGCTAGCAGTTCAGAGTTCTTTTCACGACAGGTAGCCATCCACTTGTTCTTACAGGCTCTCTTATACCACATACTTACAAATGTATATAAAAGTATTGGCTGCACTATGTCATCGTCATTGACTTTTGAAGGTCTCTGTGCCCACTTTTATGTGCTTTTTATTGGTTTTGTGTTCTAAATAATTAACGCACTTCATCATCACTCCATACAATACCGCCCGAACGTTTGCTCACGCATGCACCCACTTAGCACTTACTCACTCGCTATTCGTAGCAATAGCACGCGTTGTAAATATTGTCCACCGCGTCCCATTTCACTGGTCTGCAACGCTATCTACGCCTTATTTGCCACTGTGCTCTCTTTGCATTTGCGTATAGCTTTGGCAGCTCTTTCACTGTTGCACGCACAGCCGGTGAAATCTGGCATACAGCCCAAAAGCAGACCAGCACGGCACAGAGCAGCATAGAACAGTCCAATTAGCCTATGTTACATGATTTAGGATAAGCAAGAGTAGCTATAATACTCTTAATAGGTGGGCGTAAATGTGGGCCAAAGGTTTGAAAAAATATTGCACTATTATCAAGCGAGTAGACGTTGTTGTTTCGGTTCGTTATACCAACACATGACATTTGACATTTAGAAAAGCGCGACGAGCATAAAGCGTAACCGCATGGGGGAGTTGTAAACGAATAATGTGTTGATAAATTAGGGGAAAATTGTAAAGAATTGCAGGCAAGTGGAAAATTACATTTTAAAAATTTATTGCTGTAGTAAGATGGGCAAAAAGTGGTACGATATCAATTATGACACGCTGGAAGTGTTTTTCGGTTTTGGATTTTTACAGAATACGATGTGTAATAAGAATTTATGTGTGTGTGTGTGTGGGCAATACGAATGCGAAAAACGTCAATAATTAAGCTATTAAGTGACAGGTGCGTGTAAACGACACAGTAAAAATTATCCTCAGAGATTTTTAAATATTTTTCATGCGCGCTGCTCGGGCAAATGGCTGTTGCAAGCAATTTTTTAAACACATACTTACACGGGTATGTATGTATATGTGTAACTTTTTGCATTTGCTGATTTATAAACAAGCTTTTGCCGCTGCAACATTTTATTTTCATTTTATTACTACGCATTTCCATTATGCATTGTTTTCGTCAATTAGCCTATGTATCGGAATTTCTCGTTTAGGAATATAAACAAAAAAAAATGTATAGCGAAATGACAACAAAAAAATGTTTGTGCATGCGAAAAATGATTAAATGCCAACGCTTAGAAACGATGACGATGCCGATGCCGTTGCCGACAACGACGACTTCGTTGACTGCGCCGACACACATCGGAACGGCCTTAAAACGGTGACCAACTGCGCTGTTGTCTGTCTCCGGTTTTCCAACACGACCAGTGGCGGTCGCGGTCGCGGTCAACGTAGACGCTTTTGTTAGCTTAATTTTTTACCTTTATTTTGGTAATAGTGTCAAAAGTGACGTTTGATGAGCGTCAAAAGAGCGCTTTTATGTGTTGTATTGCTTTTAGAGATGCACGAGGTAGCTCTTAGTTTCAACATGCGCTCTTTAGTTTCTTCTCAAATTTCAGTTATACATGCTTACTTTTGCTGGGAGCATTGCATGTATTTTTAGCCCGGTTTTTAGTAAATATACATACATACATATATATTTATTTATGTGTATGCCCTCGCGTTGACTAAACTTGCCATTGTAGCGCAATAAAAGCTTTGCCGGCTTATGCGTGCTCTGACACACTTGTGCGCTCTCGCTTTCCTTGAGTTTCTCTCATTCATGTTTCGTGCTTTTGTTGTGTACTTTTTTCCAATAAAGTTCAGTGGTCACATGTTTACCTTTTTTGTGTATACAACTACAACATTACCTTTCACTATAACCAACACTACGACATTTTTGCAATATGCTCTTTCGCGCTGCCACTTTCCCGCTAACAACAATTAGTTGGTTTGTTGTTACGAGTGCCAGCTAAGCATGCCGATTCGGAATATATGTATGTATACGAGCATATATAAAAACTTAGCGTGTACAACAATGCTCGTTTATGTTTTGAGATTGCATAGCAAACGTTTGTAAACACCTTCACATTGCCGATTAATATACCATATGTACATACGTACATCTGTGTGTGTGTTGCTGCTCTCGTTCACCTGCTGTTTTTGCTCCAGCTTTATTTGTGCTATTCGTTTACTCTCTAGTAAATAATAATCGTCGCACATATTTGATTTGATTTACACGCATTTTTATACATTTTTGTTTACAATCAAGTAACTATAGCAACTTTTCGGTTAGCGGCATTGGCATCGGCTCTAAGCTGACGCGACGCACCATTAAATTCTACAACAGCCAGCGGCTGCTTAAGCATTTGCACTAGTATAGAAATTCCTTTAGTCGACTTACAAGCGGTTACCAATAATGATGATAATTGTGTCGCGCGTTTCTAGGCAACTTTAAAACCAACATTCCGACGCATAAACGCGAGTTTGTTCCTTTCAGATACAAACAGTAATTTTATTATGACATTAGATTGTTGTTGTTATTAATTTTTGATTATATACTTTATTTTTATTGCTGTTGCATTTTTTTTTTGGCATTTATTACATGCAAAATTGGTTTGCCGCATTAGAGACGCAGTCAGTTCGTTAGTTTGACTTGACAGTTTATTGAATTACTCGTAACCGTGACAATTAAAACACACAAGTGACACATCAAATTTGCGAAAATCAATGTAGAAATGCTTGTGCGACTATTTAAGAATACTTAATACAATAGTGACTAGTGCAATAGCAAATTTTTTGGGCGTTGCATTCCAATAAGTGCAAATTAATAAGTTTTAGTTGAAATAACATGTAGAGACTTGTCAAAATGGTAACAGCTTAGAAATGTCTAACATGGTGTCTGCAGCAGCATGCGCTGTTAATAACTTAAGGCAGATGCTGAGGGTTTGCAGAAATGACTGCTAATTTGTGTAGAGTGATGAAATTGCAATTAAATTTGAATTAAACAAAAATACATATTTGTAATTACTTGTAAGCAAAGAATAATCAAATAATTAATATGCAAAACTAACAAAAAATTGTTGAGCACGCTATAATGTCTTAATAATTGACTGCAAAATAGTACTTATTATACTTAAGCAGACAAGTAGTAAATCTATAAATGACAAATTGGTATATTAATAATAGCAAAATAAAATGGCATTCTTCGCAGTTTTCTTTCATTTAATTTTTTTAAGTAATTTAATTAAATTTCAAAACAACATTCTTACTATACTTTATATAAAAAATAACGCCTTCATTCGCATATATACATATAGAGATATGTATGCATGGATATTTGTTTTATTCTGTATAGTTACACTCACTTTGAGACGTACAAAATATCAATTCATGTACTCCTGTATTGTATAACCTTGGCTTTTTGTTGCAAAGATATTTCGCATACTAATATTTTATTACTATTTGCTGCGCATTTAATAGCACTTTTCCTTTTTTAAACACTCTACTCACTCTGTATTGCTGAATTTTGTACTTAGCTACTTTTCGCATTTTATATAATATATTATTTCAATAGATATACATAAATACATATACATATATCAGGTATATACACAAAACATATTTATGTACATTTTAAGTTTTATAAAATGTGACGCCTTATATTCAGAATAGTTTTGTTAGCTTATCTTATCTAGCAACGCATACAATGTGTATTTATCTGCTTATGTCAGCGAGTATAAAAAAACCGATTAAGTGCCAAAATTGTTTGTTAAAGTTGGAGAAGTGTTAAGCATATCAATGTGTAGTTTTTTTTTTGTTGTATTCTAGTAGTTGTTTTATTACGTGTTATATTATAAATGGTTAAGTATGTTTGTACATATGTATGTAAATTTGTATATATTTTTTAATTGTCGCGTAATAATTTGTATGAGATCTTATGACAGCTATAGCTTAGAGTGTTTTAGTTAAAAATTAAATTTTTGTGTAAATAAGCGTTTATTTCTTCTAAAACAAAAGTTTTCTTATTGGTTTCGGTAAAAATAATTATATACATATGTGTACTTAGACAAATAATGAGTAACTGCATATCAATTTAAGCAGAAAATTTATTTTTATTTATATGTATATATTTTTCATATTTTTTTTTAACTCGAATTCTCTGAAAAGTTAACTACATTATATTGTTCTCTCGTTTCTTTTGCAGAATGTCGCCGGATAATCCTACACAGATTTTAACCACACATGATTTGACCAGCTTACGTACCCTACAGCGTGTGATCAACACCAATAATAACAACACAGCTGTTGACGACAACGTCATCTATAACAGCCACGGCCATACCAACAACAATAACAACAACAATACTACACGCAATCACAATTACAATCTGAGCCACAATAGCAATAGCATCACAAACGGCATACATAATCATCACAATAACAGCAACGGCAACGCCAGTGGCGGTAATCTTGTCTTCTCCACCATCCCACTTGACGGCCACGCCCTGTTCATACAACCATCGCACCTGTTACCCGCGAACGCTGCTGCCGCTTCGCTCACCAGCAAGGGTTTGCAACAGGCTACGCAAACGCGCGGCCTGGTCACAACAGCAACAAATGGTTTACGCACCGTTAATAGCATTAACCATAGCAACATTAGTCCCGCCGTCAGCAACGCTAACAGCTTTATCAGCAGCAATAGCAACAGTAGCAATCACAACAACAACAATAACAGTTTAAATAGTTTTCTTGCCAAAGCGACTATACTGAGCGCCAATCTTAGTAACGGTAAAGCGAGCGGCAAAATTTTCAGCACCGGTGGCACAACTTTCAGTAGCAACACTAATAACATGCCCACCACATCCAAATATGTTTTGTTACAGCCCAATGGTAATGGACAGTTTACCACCTACGAAGGTCCAACGCCAGCGGCGGCAGCAGCTGCAGCGGCAAACGGCAATGTGGCAGCGCCCAGCGTGGGCAATATTGTGCTGCTAGCAACCGAACCGATGGACTTGAATGGCAGTGCCGCGGTAGGTGGTGATGCCACTGCTGTTGGGCGTGTCATTGCCACAACTACAAGCGTTACGGGTGATAATGATGAGGAGTTGCGATCATTAGCATGGCTAAATGACAGCAATTTGATTAAAGGCATAGTGACTACGAGCGCGGCGGGTGGTGCCAGCGGCGCCAATGTAAAACGTGCTGGCACAGCGAATAGTGGCAATATTTGCATAGTAAGCGCCGGCAATGCGCATGAGCTGATCGAGGAGCTGCCACATCATGTGGGTAGCGAAGAGGTAACCACCACTACACCCAGCGGCAATGTCAGCACTACTGGTGCTGGCATAAGCAACAACACTAATAATAACAACAATATTACCACACCAACTGAGCTAAAAGCCAGCACACAAATAACTGCGCTTAGTGTTAGCGATCTGCAACATCTCAAGCGTTTCGGCAACATAATCACAACTGGTACACCGATCACTTTGCTGCCACAACACGACGCTACAACTGCTACGACTGGTAGAAAAGATGAGCCAACACATATTTTCGGTAACATTAGCGGCATTAGCGCCACAACTACGGTGCATATGGGACCGAGCGGCACCACCACCGTTGTCGAGTACAAATCGAACGGCAATATACCGACACTACAGCCGAGACAGCTACTCAGCGCTGCCGGTGTAGGCAATGTCAGCACTGGCACCACTATAACGCCGACCAATTTGAGCAGCAGCAGCAACAATAATGCAAATAATAACAGCAATAATATAAATTCTAGCAACTATGTGCCTTCTTCACCTTCTTCGACTCACAGCAACCATTCAATTGTCGTCAGTACACCCGCCTCCGCAGCTGCTTCCAATCCTGCCGCACTATCTGTTTCCTACTCGACGGCGCCTTCCACTGCGTTGAGTGTTGCTGGCGCCAATAACGGTACGACAGTGCTTAGCCTGTCTAAGCAATTGACAACGTTGCCGGGCGGTGTTGTTACGGTCACCAACGGCAACGGCACGACTAACACAATTTATCAAGGACAACAAAAGCAACAAACTGTCGCCAGTAATAACAACACAAACAACACTAGCAGCGCCTCCAGCACCACACATCATCCGCATAAGAAATATTTGCGCGAAAAGATGAACGTATTGGATCATGGCGGTGGTGGCTACAGTAGTGGTGGCGGTGGTGTTATAGCTAACACAACTGCCAATAATGTCAACACCACCAATGGCGCTGGTAATGCCGCCGCTTCTACCATAACCGTAGTCGCTTCTCCAGCCTCTTCGAGCAGTTCGTTTTCCTCGTCCGTCTCAGTGTCATCCAGTTCATCGTCCACGGCCGCCGTTAACGGTGGCAATAGTCCAGTTTCTAAGTCATTCTATGCTGGCGCAGCCAACAACAGCACTGTTAACGGCAGCACCAGCAATAGCGGTGCCATAAACTACTCCAGCACGGCGAATACGACGCCGCCAGTGGTGTTGGGCAGTGTGTCAGCGGTCGCTTCAAATGGCGTGCACACGATCACCAGCTCGCCGATGGCAGCGAGTCTGCCGCCCACATACGCCATAATGCAGTACCAAAGTGTGGCGTAAGTATCAAATATATTTCTACTATTTATTATTATAATTGTAAACAAATGACTTGCTCATCAACAGCTCCTCGCCAAGCATCTCCTCGCCAGAACCAAATAATTCCAAAGAAATGTATCCACTTATTGCACCTCAGCAACAACAACAACGCAACTCGATGCGTTCGCCCACCTCCTACTCCAGCTATGATAATGACTCATTGAAGGATTTCGAAATATCCACCAATGGCTCGAGCGGCTTGGGCCGCAACAATACCAGTACACCACAACACCAAATGCACCAGTCTACGCCAACTCAACAACAGCTGTCGTCAGGTTCTTCGGCATCATCGAAGAATAGCCATAGCGGCAGCATTGGCGGCGGTAGTGGAGCAAATGCCAACGGTGCTGTCACACCGCAAAAGCAAAAGCATCCGAACAATGTGCCATACGATCCGTTCGTGCACACACACAACAAACCGCCCTATAGTTTCAGGTGAGTTATACAAAGCGAAAGCATTTAAGTTAGAAATTGGTAATATGTATTTTCTGACTGTTTCAGTTCCTTAATATTCATGGCCATTGAGGGCTCAAACGAAAAAGCTTTGCCCGTTAAAGAGATCTACGCATGGATTATGCAGCATTTTCCGTATTTCAAAACAGCGCCAGCCGGTTGGAAGAACAGCGTACGTCACAATTTGTCATTGAATAAGAGTTTTGTGAAAGTGGAGAAGGCGCCGGTGAGTTTTGCATAATAACATTTATTACTCTTTTATACTAAGTTTGCATTTGCGTTGAAAAAAGTGTATAAACAAAAAAATTTATTATTATTATAAACAACTCCTTTCCTTACATTTCTGTCCGTAGAATATGGGCAAGGGCTCACTTTGGCGCGTGGAACCACAGCAACGACAAAATCTCATACAAGCGCTCAATCGTTCGCCATTCTTCCCCAATTCGGCCGTCGATAAATCGGCATCGCTAAAGAGCCCTGGTGGCAATGACTCACTTGTTGGTTACGACACAGTCGACAGCGTGGGCAGCAGCGGTGGCGGTGCCTGCAGTCCAGCGCCAAAATCAAACATAAACCCGCGCATTGATCCGCGTCTATATCCTAAATTGTCAAAAGTTATTGGTGGGCAGGATGTGCCCGACGAAGACACTCCGTCCGACTATAGTACAACAAATCATAATAGCAATTTGAATAATCACAATAGCAGCAGCAACAATAAATATAACACTTATAATAGCTCACCGGTGCCGCAAAATGCTGGCAGTGGCGGTGGCACTTCCATATTGGGTCCTTTTAGCAGTTATGAAAGTATCGAGCGTTTGGCACGTGACTGCGGCGCTGACAGCATCGACGATGTAAACGCTGCAACGGCGATGTTGGCACTGAAGCATGGCCCTAAGGTGTTTGCAGAGACCTTCCAGAATGGGTAAGTTGTGAGCGTATGTTGCAGTGTTTTGAAACCGTTAAAAGCATATCTATTTTTGCTCATTTTGTATGTAGTGCGCCCGTTATAACATCTTCACCAAGTGAGGATCACACCTATTCCGCTGGTGGCGGTGCAGGCGCTGGCGGTGGCGCCAACAGCGGTTCAACAACACCAGTAGCCAACGGTAGCGCAGCACCATTAGCATTGAATGGCAATACACAGTATGCTGTTAGCGGTGCACAGCAGCTGCAAAACGGTTGCAATGTCGATAATCAAAGCAATTACACTTCCTCCGATGCGGCATACGAAAGCAGCGAAGATAAGTAAGTGCTAACTGTCAGAAACTCTATTTGTAGCAGCTGTCAAATATATGCATTTATATTATTTTTCATGTGTTTTATCTAACATTCTACATTCTACTCTGCTGCAGCAACAACATCACGCCCGAAGAGCTGGAGGATCAACGCCGTCAACGTGAGGGCGTCGATGCGCTGCTCTCACTCTCACGCTCCTCCGTTGTCGAATCGCCAACAAAGCGACCGTCATCGACCAGCGTCGAAGAAGAACACCTAACTGCCTGCCTCGAAAGCAACAAAGTCAACAACAACAACAACAATAATAATAATAATGGCCACTTCACCAATGGTAATGGCAAAATGGCATTACTTACCAGTGCGGTGGCCTACAGTCAACAGCAGCAACATCATTTGTACGAGGACAGCGGCAGCTTTCATTCGCCCAGCTATTATGGCACGACGCACAGTGGAGCACATCAATTGCATCACCATCTCGGCTTAGCCGGTGGCAGTGCACAGCGTAAAATCAAACCCTTGCGAAGTTTGCGCACAAAAATCAAGCGCAAAGCGCCATGGATGAGCAAGGCACGGTGAGCGACAGCTTTTGTGTGTAAGTGGAGAAATGTAAGAAAATAAGTAGTGCAAGAGTTGGGGTGGTGTAAGGAATGAGTTTATGCTGGACATACAAAGACTAAACATACAACATACATGTATGAAATTTTAAAAATTCAAAAACTGCATACATTTAGGCGTAGATAACAAAACAAACTACAAAATATCATAAGTGTTATTCGTAAGCAACAAAAGGGAGCAAAGAAAAGAGCAATGCGTTTTCACGTGCTGTTGCGCCATCAGTTTAATTTGTACAATACATTTTTTTTGTGAATTTTCTCAATTATTTAAGACTTCTGACACACAAAATTATTACCACTGACTGTTTTTTTCGTTTACCTTAAAACTTAATTGGTTTGTAAAATTTGAATTAAATGAATATATTATATGTGACTGCATAAATCAAGTGCAACAACTTGCACTAAAATTGCAAAACATTAAAATGCGCAGCTCGACTCAAAAGCCACAAGCATTCAGCTTCGACAAGTCAAAATCAAAACTTTGCAGCAATTTTTTATTTGACAGCCGTTTGCACCGTCCTTACTTGCAAACTTAGACACATACACATAAACATACCAGTTAATTTATCTACAAAATATGCCCCAACTCTGCTTTACATTTTTTATCTCTATATACGAGCCATGTGAAAAATATTACTAAGTAAAAAAAAAAAATAATGACCATTGCATACTTTTTGGCGTTTGCCAAGTTAAGTTTTACGAAAATGTGAAACAAAATACATATATGTTTTTCAGTTTGCGAAATCATGCATTAGGCGGTAATGCTTACAATTTAAATGATAGTTGTTTGTCGATTTCTGGTAAATTCAGCATCTGAAATAGTGAATTTTGTTTAAAATCTACTACACTCATGTTAATTATTTCGAATTTGTGACAATAACTTTCGTTCTCTCGAAAATTTTTTATATATATGCAATACTTGCAGTTCACATGTTCTTAAGCGCGCTAAATATAAGTAAAAATACAGAAAACGCTAGTAACTAATTACTCAGCGCGCTGCATTTTATAATAGCTTATCGCTTAGCGCGCTGAACTTGAACTGTCACTCAACGTAATAATAAGCGTGATAAGCATGCTGTAAGCGTTGTTAAGCGTTTTAGCGTGCTGGAAAATGCTATTTGCTTAATTATTAAGCGCGCTGAATAGCAGTTATAAAGCAAAAATTTGCTTGCAGCGTACTATGAAGTGCGTTAATTATTACGCAAGCTTTGTTAAGTGTTTAAAAATACTGTAAGTGCTAGCAATTTATTATTAAGCGCGCTGAATATAAGTTGCTGTTATTTGAAATAATTTTTTTTTTTTAATTATGTGATTTTTAAAACTTAGTATAAGTTAATTGTGTCGGCAATGTCATAAACTTGCGCAAAATTTGCAAATAACTTTTTATACAGCGCGCTGAATACCATTTCATTACATAAAAATTGTAAATACCTACCTGTAGAAGCACAACTGTGCGTATATCGCTTTCTGACTTAGCTTTAAAGACTTCTGAAAAGATTTTCAAATAACTCTTTAAACAACGCGCTGAATACCATTTCATTACAACAAAATTGTAAGCACTTATTGCTTTTATAATTGTAACTATTTCGCTTTCTGAATTACCTTTAAAGTCTTCTAATAACTTAAAATTAGTTTGTATTTACTTCTAAGTTACTTTGCTTCCAATTTTAAAATGTTATCTTTTTTTCCGATTTCTTAAAGAAATTGCAATGTTTTATGCCAAACCATAGTTTTATGCTAAGCGTTATGCGAATTATTTTTTCGCACGGTAAAAATAAAAAAATCTAATAATATTATTAAATTTAAAAAAAATTGCAAATTTGTTTGTTGAAAAATTTTCAATAAATAATTTCGCTTTTTATGCAGCTTTTAAAAAGCGCTAACGAAACATTTTAAGTTTCGTATTTAATTTTATTATAATTAGTTTAAAAAACAAAAACAACAAGTGTAACATTTATAAGTAAAAGTAGCAAAAGAAACTAGCAAATCAAAAACACAAAAATATTTAAGTGCATATAGCAGTTTAGCATTTAAGTTAGTATGCATAAATACTAGACAGAATAAGTATGTTATGCTAGGCGAGCAAAATGCAACTTTAAAACGCAAAATAAATTCACTTCAAGTACCTTTTTAGCAAAAAGAATATAATATAAAATAATTAACTAAATAATATTGATTGCTCAGTTAGATGCGGCTGAGTTGAGTTACAAAAACAAAAAAAAAATAAAAATTATAATAATTATAAATTAAATATTTTTTAATTGAAAGCTTTATATGCCGCCTTTTAATTACCAATTTAATTGTTTACTATTACACTAATTGTTTATAGCGCATGCAAGCGAAAAGCGCAGCAAATCAAAAAACTAAAAACCAAAACAGAAAATGTGAAAAACCAATTGAAAACAAAGTAACGGAAAAAGGTGTAGCAAAACCAACAAACTGTTAAACAAAAGCAAATGTTAAAAGTGAATATTATTTGTTAGAGCGTATCTAAGTGAATGCGTGCGTGCGTTTGTAAGCGTTGCAACTACAACTACAATTTACTTAAGCCTATAGACAAAAAAGTAGTCTTAAAGATTATATATATATATATATACATATAAATACATACATACATATGTATAAATATAGTGAAATATGTTAAGTGATCATAAATGATAAGTGGTCATCAATGATAAATGGCAATATTAATTGTAGTTTAATATTAAACTAGCATAATCTATATAAAACACAAATACATACATACATATATACCTACACACTTATATATACATACATATACATACCATATAAGCATACACACAAACACAAAACCAATTTTAGACAACTATACTAAACTCTAGTGTATAATGACGCCTAAACACCTAAATGTAGGCAATAAAAAATGTTGAGTTTTTACTTTATACAAAACACTTACTACAAACATGCATACATGCATACATATGTGCATTGTATGTACATATGTAGTGTATTGCTATATGTATAAGACAAACTAAATATATCAAATGTGTGCAGAGTGTAAGACGCTAACACATACATACATACCATACATACTCATGTATGAAGCAAGCATGTTAAAAGTTGTAAATAATTTACCAAAAGAGTCTATCATAGACAAATGTAAATGCTATGTGTGTGTGTGTAAAGTTAGCAAAAAGCCGGACAATCCAAAAGCTAAAAAAATGTTTGACAAAAAAAAAAAACCGAAAAATATATGAAAAACGACAAATTCTTATACAAATCGATAGCGAAAAGCAGCTGCTTATTCCACGTGCTATTTCAAAATTATATTTAAAAATTGAAAAATAAAAAACAAAAAGTAAAATGTATGAAAATTCTAAAAAACCAAAACCAAACTATCAACACTTAATGTGTTAAGGCGCCAACGCTCGCAAGTAGTTGGTTTTGCTGACATATTATATGCATAGATTTAGTAAATCAATTTATATATTTAGTTCAATAAATTTTTTTTTGAAAAAAATAAATTGTCACAAACTTATGTATTTTTTTTTTTGTTTTCAGAAATTGTATATTTTTGTTTGCTCAAGCATTACAACAGCGTGAAATTGTAACATTTTAATGTGTGCGAATTTGTTAAATATACGTTTGCTGCTGAATGTATGTATGTATGTAAATATGACATCATGTCGTATTTATTATTTTTTGAAGTTGTCATTGTATTTGAAACATGCTTACAGCTATTTTCAAAAGTTTGAAAATTTGCCTAAATTTAGGCAAATTTTCAATGTGTTTTTCAAAGCTTTGTGCAAACATTGCAGGCGTATTCAGCACTTCGAAAAGTTTACTAGGTAAGTCTGTAAACTTACTACTAATCTAAAAAGTCTACTAGACAAGTCTGTAAACTAACCAGTGGTTTTTGTAAAATAACTGTTAACTTCAAGTTTTACAAACTTTTTTAAAACCGTTTTTTTTTTGTACATTCAGCTAAAATATATGCTACGGCTTACAATTATACATTGCTGAATAACTTAGCGCTGTCGCTGTATATAATTCATATTCAGGGGACAGCTGTAAACATGTGCAGTGTGCATAGTGAAAAGTGCTCCGTAATATCTGAAAATATTACTTCAATCGTATATATAAAAGTGAAAGAATATTAAATTAATGCCTCATATAAGTTTCTCTGTAAATTCAGCAGAGTGCGTTTCGATTCAATTTTAAGCAAAAAAATCTATGACACTCCGTCGACAGCATTGATACAAAAAATTCATTGAAAAAATCTGTAAGCGCTCATTTTATGTAGATTTCTGAGTAAGTAAAAACCGGCAGTGTTACGAAAATTAATTCTAACCGAATTGTCAGCAATTAAGCGCGCGCTGAATTAGCATAAAACATAGTTTTAGCTTATTAGCATAGACTACTGAGCAAGTAAAGCGCGGAAATATTGTGAAAATGAGTTTTAACGCAATTGTCAGCAATTCAGCGCGCGCTGAATGCACGTACAATTGTTAAAAATGTTATACAAGTTGTAGTAATTTTTGCGTGGACCACAAATGATTTAATTATTAACAGAAATAGCAAAAAGTGTACATTTTTTTGTTTATGTTAATAATTGTGCACATAGTGTTTGCATAAGTAACGTTTGATAAAGTGCGTATAAAATTTCAATTAAATATTTTTAAAAATTCAATCTGTTTAATTATTTAATTATTATTATTTTTATTTCAACTACCATTTCTACTTTCGAGTGCAGCGCCTTAACCTAAACAAGTACTACTACAAAACAACAATTCTTAAGCCTACTCAATTAAGCCTTACTTAAATTTAGTGCTACGCTAAATATTTGATTTTAATTTTTATACACAAAAGTGCATACATGTAGATTTGTATGTACTATAAACATGTTTCTTATACTTAAGACTTAGATAAAGATTTTATTTTAACGATAAAAACCGAAAAATCAAACATTGAAGGCCTATTAAAAAAAAGCTCGGCATGGTTGCATACTAATTTTAGAATTTAATTAGTTTCCTTAAGCGTTGCCAAAACTTTTTAAAACTTTTCTATGAAAAATTTGCCTCAAACTTATACTTTAAAGAATATATATGTATTGTATTTTTTTAAGTGTTTTAACTTTGTCTAAAAGTTATGCTTATACCAAATGGAAACTGTTTCCACAAATGAAATTTCCACTCTTAAATCCCTGCAATCATGCCAGCGAACACTTACGTGTATGTATGTATATTTTTTAAACTTAAGATGATGATCTTAAAATTCAACCAAAAAAAACTTATTTTTTAACTTTACCAACTAAATGATAAAAAACAAGCAAAACTTTATAAGAAAATTTGAAAATCTAAGTGGAAAATTCTGAACTAAAGGAAAGTGCCTATATACATATTTATGTAATTATTATTAATTAATATTATATTATATTGTGAAATATCTCAACTTTAAATGAAATGAAAATGCAACAACATAAAACCCAAAACAATTTATACATACTTACATACATACCTACAACATAAATATACATATATATTTAAATAATATTATTCTACATACAATTTCAATTGCGAATTGAGACAAACAAACAAACAAACATACATACATACCTATTTCATACAAATTTATGTAAGCGAACAATTTAAGCGTTTTAGTAATATTAAATGTTTACGTCGATAAATATTTTCGAAAATTTGAAAAATCAATATAAAAAAATTAAATTATAAATCAAAAAGAAACTTTGCTAAGCTTAGTTTGAAAAACATGCGAAAAATTGTAAAGTGAAAAAGAAAATTTCGAAAAACAAATAATAGCATGTAGTTTGATAAATAGTTTGTAAATTTAATTGCGTAAAAGCAACATACAACATACTTATATACAAATGAATGTAAGCAGTCCATTAAACGGTTATAAGAGTTGAAAAAAGTTGTTACTTTTTCTTATTAATATTTATTCTTTGTAAAAGAAGCAAATGAAAGTTCAAAGCAGAAAATTTTTAAACAATTAGTAAAAGTTTGCGCAAAATATGCCACGCTGTTTATAAAACTTTATACTTTTACGCATATGTTTGCCATTTTTATTTTTACCAATTGCTTAAATAATTTATTTTTTCTTATCTTATTGTTAACCTTGCGAAATTTTGAGTACTATTTTTTTTTGTTTGAAATCAAATAATTTTGTATGTCATAAATGAATTTGTACACTCATGAACAATTTTTATGCACTACTCTGCAGTTAGCGTTCGCATTTATAAAGTAAATTCATTACATTAATTCGTTTTTTTAGTGTTTTAAGATTATTAAAATATAAATTTTTGCTATTGATTTTAAAAGTTTGAATTATTTTTAATTTTATGCTACTTTTAAATTTTAATTTTTTTAAATTACATGTCACTTTATAAATTGTTTATTTTAGTTGTTTTTTTGTTATTTTATTTTTTTATTGATTTTTAAGTTATATATTTTTATTTAATTAAAATTTTTTATTTAAGAATTTTTATTTATTTATTTAAGATTTTTTTTATTTATTTATTTTAGAACTTTTATTTATGTTTTTTTTATTTATTTACTTAAGAATTTTTATTTTTTTTCATTTAAAATTTTTTTTTTTAATATTTAATTAATTTTTATTTTTATTTTTTAATTATAATTTTAGTTTTCTTTTGTTTTAATTTATTTTTATTTAATTAAAAAATTTTTATTTAAGAATTTATGTTTTTTTTATTTATTTATTTAAAATTTTTTATTTATATTTTTTTATTTATTTATTTAAAATTTTTTATATATATTTTTTTTATTTATTTATTTAAAATTTTTTATTTATATATATTTTTATTTAAAATTTTTTATATATATTGTTTTTATCTTATTCATATTTATATTTTTCTTAATATTTTTTTTATATTTTTGTTTAAGATTTTTTATTTAAATTTTTTTCAATTTATTTATTTCTTATTTTATTTTTTAATTAAAACTTTTTTTTTTATTTTTGCATATGGTTTGTTTATTCGAGTGCCCTCTTTAAATTCCAAAAAAAAAAAAAAAACGAACACGTTTTCCAAATCAAAGTAAAAAAAATATCATCTACTACTTGCCTATATCAAAATCTTTATGTAAGAAAACGCCATGAATTTGTAATTGAATTTCTAAAAAAAAAAAAAAAAAATCCAATCGTACATTACCAAATAGTAAGCAAGCTATGTATGTAACTAGAACTATGACTAAAAATGGTTTCCTAATGCTAATAAATATTATCAGGACCGACCGAACTTCAGTAATATAAAATAACAACTAAACTATTTAAAGAAATACTTAAAATAAAAACCAAAAACAAAATAAAAAAAGAAAATAAATAAAATGCCAGGCTTTCATAACTTAATGCTAACGAACAAACGAACAATAGAAAATACACAAATAAGCAAACAAACATACCAACACTTCCCTTAGAGTACACTTGAGAACGTATCAGCAAATTATATTAAATTAATGAAACAAATTTAATAGTAGTTGGTAAAAATAAAACAACTCTACAAATTAAAAAGAAAGAGTTTGCTAAAGATTTGTACAGATTTATGGTATAGCTAAAAATTCAATCATGACCGAGAAAAAGAATATATATGTGTGTGAAATATAACAGAATCAGCAAATCTGTAATTTATAAAAAAAAAAAATATTATTTGCAAAGCCTATAAAATGCCGCCGCCTTGAGTAAATTCCAAGCTTTCATACATATAAAGTTATAGCAACAATTGAATTATGTTAACGCTGCTTATATTCGATTATTTGCGGCGCAGCTAACGCTCAATATATAAAGCTATTAATTTGCTATATTATTTGCATTTGCAGTAAAAACACCAAATAAACCAAAAAGTGATGAATTCAAATGTAAACAGTTATCGATTTTAGGTAAAAATATCGATATGGAAATGTAACTGCTTGCATTGGCAAATAGCATTCAGCTGCCTAAAATGTAAATAAAGCATGTGCTCAGTTGAAATTATAGTCAAGCAAAAGTTTAGTAAAGCGCTCTTAAGATTTTAAATATTTTTTGTTTATTTAACGAATTATTATATTTGACAAAGTTAGGCAGTGCAGTTAATGCGAATCATAAGAACTCTAGTGAAAGTATAAAACTGAAAAGCAAAGAAAACACCACAAAAATTTAAACAAATGTATGTAAGTATAGCGCCCGCCACTCACCATGGCAGAGGAGAGGAGTATAAGATATGTGAAAAAATGGAAAACTGGATTAAATGGAATGGCTAGGAATGTAATATGTATAAAAGAATAATGTAAACAAATGATACTGACAATTAGCGAAAATTATAAATTGATTAAATAAAAGAAAAAACCACAAAAACTTAGCAAATGACAGTGAAGTAGGTATAAAAAATATTAATAAACAAAAATAATAATAAATACATAACAAAAAATTATAAGTTTAAGGAAAAAATATCACAGATATTTTTAGTGCAATATATAAATATATATACATATATATATATATGGAAAAAACTATATTATATTATATTTGAGAAATTTAAAATAATTATATATACAAACAAACAAAAATATATACTTACTAAATAGCGAGCTATGAGATACGGATCTAAAAATAAAACTAAAATAAAGAGACAAAAGTTGAAAAAACCACTTTAAAAATAAAATAAAAAATATGTGTTTTACTTTGCAATTTAACGTGAGTATTTACAGAAATTTCTTTTAGCTTTAATTTGCCAACATTTTCAGTAAAATCGGTGGCATAGTGCAAGAGTTATGCGAAATTCATCAGAAAAAAATTTATTGTATAAAAAAAAAATTAATAAAAAAAAAATTTTAAAAAAATTAATAAAAAAAAAATTTATTTAAGAAAAATTAAAAAAAAAATTAATTTAATTAAAAAAATATATTATATTAAAAAACATTTTTATTGTTTGTTTTTTTAATATTTTATTAAAAAATTTATTTGGTTAAGAACAATTTATTGGAAAAAAATATTTAAAACATTGGCAGATAATGTTTCTGCAGCCACCTGCTGCTGATTATGGGCGCTTGGAGTTTTCTGGTAATTTTAAAATTTGGTAGAAATGACGAAGAGCCGAAACAGGGGTATGACCGCTTGGTGTAAATTAAATTTTAAGATGGTGTTTATAGAAAAATTGTTATTTCGGGTAATTTTAAGTAAAATTGGTACTCCACATAATGAGCAATTCAGTTTTTCATAAATAAAAGGTATGTTTGTTATTTGTATGAAAAAAATTATTATGTTAAATAATTATTTAAAAAATTTATTTTGTTAAACAATTATTTAAAAAAATTATTATTATTATAAAATAATTCTTTTAATAAAACTTTTATTTACAATAAAACAATTTCCTTATATGCAGAATGTTTTTCGATAATTTTTTTTAAATACAATTTGTTTTTTATTAAGATTTAATTTAAATCAATTCTCCACTTATTCATTTTTTGAAATAACTTTTGTTTTTAATAAAATAGTTTTTTTTAATAAAATAACTTTTACTAATAATAAATAATTACTTTATATAGAATTTTTTTTGATATGTTTTTTAATTAAAATTTAATTTTAATATTTGTAGATTTCTTAATTTTTTTAAATAAACTTTCTTTAATAAAACATTTATTTTAATAAAATATCGTTTTTCATACATTATTTGTTTCAAACATTTTTTTTTTTTAATAAAATAATTTTGTTCTTTTTAAATTTTTTTATAAAATGTTTTTCACAAATTTTTTTAAATATAAAAAGTTTTTTTATACCTGTACTTGAGCGGCGGCCAATTTGAAGTATCAGCTCGAGCAGCACTGCTGCAGCTGTGCAGTGCACTATGGTCTCTTTATTTACGATGCGCGATAAAATATTTTTTTCATAAAATTTCTTTTTTTGAAGTAAATACTCACCCTCTATTTCAACATATAAGCAATAAAAACAATTTCCGTATTTCTTTATTTTAAATTTAAATGCCTTTTAAGCTTTTATTTATCTTTATGTATAATTTTCTTTGTTTGTGTAACATTACTCTTTTATTTTATTTATCAACTGCACGTTGTTGTATTTTAAATCGCTTATATCTAAAAAATGTACGGTATGTGGTATTGTATATATTTAATATGTATGTATGTATGTATGCATGTAAATCAGTAATAATATAATTAATAATCGTATATAGTAAATGGTAAATGGTAAGCAATGTATATGTATGTATTATATATATAATGTAATATTATTTAATATAAGGTATTATAAGTAAAATACATATTACAAAAAATGAATGTATGTATGTATGTAGATATATGTATGTATGCACATCGGCATTTAGAGCGCGCGCTTTTGTTTAATTTTTTTAAGCATTTTCGATTTTTTTCGAAGCTACATAAGTTTGACAAGTGTTTAAAATTTTTGTATTCAGCAAATGCATTGCAGATGTTTAGAGTGGTGATCAACAATCAGCTCAGCTTGGAGATCAGCAACACTTTTTATATTTTTTAACTCAGTTGCATATATGCGTTTTTGAGTTTATTTAAATGCATTTTTAGATATTTATCGATAACTTTTGTAAGTTTTATGCGTAAGCAATAACTGCATATGTTACAATTTGTTTTTTTAGTATATCGACTGCGTTGAATTTAATGTTTTATATATTTTTTATAGGTCAAAAAAATTACTAGAAGCTCGCATTTCAAAGCATTTACAAATTGTAAATATTGGAATAATTTTTGCTTTCTTCAAATCGCATATGATTTGTTCTTTGAGTTTGTGGAAATTATTTGAACGAAATTTAAGATTTTTTTTAGAACTTTTCAGTGCTGTTTCTAACAGTTTTTTAGATTTTGTGAAAATAAAAAAATAACAAAAAAGAGTACCAGATTTATTTAGCACATTTGTACACGTAAAAAAAATTTCACAACTATAAAAAAGATTTAAATGTTAAAGTTTAAATGCGAAATTACTTTGCAAAAACAACTTAATATATGCTGATATACATATGTATGTAGGTTTATGCTCAACTTTGCCACAAAAATTTATTTTTTTAAATTTATTTAAATGTGAACGGGAGATTGACTATTTCCACAGTTTTTAAACATGTATTTTGAGGTTTCGATTATTACAACATTTTTTAATAATGAATTTTGAGGTTATCATGCAAATTACAAAACAATAAATTGAACACATAATTTCTACGATGTTTCTGTTTTAAATTAAATTTCAAGTTAAGATTAGCAATACAAGACTATAGAGTTTAAATGGTATGTAATTATTTTTAATTTACATTAAATTCTAATTTAACCACAAAATTCACAAAAATATAATTTTTAACAGTTTGCATAATTTCAAATTTAAATTTTCGAGAATTTGTATATTTTAAAATTTTAAATAAAATTTTTACAATTTAATTAAAAAAAAAATATAAGTTTTTCACAATTTTTATATTTTCAAATTTGAATTTAAATTTTCACAATTTTTTTATTTTAGAATTTGAGTTTAAGTTTTTGAAAATTTTTTTATTATATTTTAGAATTTGAATTTAAATTTTCACAATTTTTATTTTTTAAATTTGAATTTAAATTTTTGAAAATTTTCATATTTTTTAATTAAAATTTCTCAAAATTTGTATGTTTTCAAATTTGAATTTAAATTTTCATATTTTTAAATTTGAATTTAAATTTTTGACCATGATTTTCAAATGATTTTAAAATTATTTACTTTTTGTAATTGTATTCGGCAATAAGTATTTTATGTAGTTGAGAATTAGAATGTTTTTAAAATTGTAATGTTACACATACATATGTACATATGTATGTACGAAAACCTTAAGAAAAACTATTGTGTGGTTTCTTTATTTTCATTAAATTTTAAACTAACCTCCAAATGCACAAAAATATAATTTTTAACAATTTTCAATATTTTAAATTTGAATTTAATTTTTGCAAAATTTTTTTATTTTCAAATTAAAATTTAAATGCTTGACAATTGACCTTCGACGGTATACGGCAGAAATTAAATATTTAGAATATTTTTAAAATATAAAAATTTTCAAAAATATAAAATTCAAAAACCGCACAATAGTGAGAGTGCTGATTTTTGTGATGGCACTATTCACAATAGCGTTGAAAATTTGAAAATATGTATCAATTTAATTTTGAAATTTGAAAATATAAATCAATTGAAAGTTGCAAATAAGAAACAAGTTTAAATTTAAATTTTACACAATTTTCATATTATTAAATGCTTTTCAAATAATATATTACATGAAAAACAAAAATTAATTGCTGTTGCCTGTGAACAAAGTTTTATATATTTTTGGAGGAAAAAAAAAATTTTTTTTTGAGAAAAATATCAAACATTAAACATTTATAAAAATGCGCACAACTGTCTGACTAAGTTTGCAAGCTTGCTTTAAATACAGTTATTACATTTCTGACACTGTGAGCAAATATTTTGCTGCCATTATTATTGTTATTTTGATTTTGAATTGTATTGACTTGCGTTTGTTGTTCTTCTGCATATTTATCACTACTACACTTGTTCTGCTACGCTCTAATGCTACATACACATATAAAAGTTAATCTAGTATAATTATGATTCAAAAATTTCTGTATGCTAAACAGACTTTTCATATTAATATTTATTTTATATGATTGCATTTCATTTTCATTTTTTTTTCTTTACTATATTTATATAACAGACAAAAAATTTGCATTGCATTAATTTGACACACATAAAAAGTGCATTATAATGTATGCATTGCGAAATGCATTTACATATGTATAAAACTAAATTAGTAACGTAAATAAGCGAGAGCAAAGTGAGAGAGAGAGAAACGCAAAAATTAAAATTATAATAAAATTTACATACAACTAAAGAAAAAAAATGCACGCCTAAACGACTTATAAACTTGTCTAGACATTAACTGCAACGCAAATGTAAACAATTTCGAAACGCGCAACGCTGCAGCGGTATAAGCGCTGCCAGTCAGCCAGTCAGCCAGCCAGGACCTACAAGCAGCGCCAAACTGGCGTTTGCTTGCTTGCTAAATATCCAGTATTAATAGTAATTTCAAAACACTTTCGCCTGCTCCACGCGCTGCTGCTACCTTCCAAACACAAGCCTTCCACCTTGCGCGCACTCAATACAATAAATCTGTCTTTTGCGCGCCCTCGCTGTACGCAATGGTGAGATCATCGTTTGCCGGTTTTATGTACTGCAAACTCTCCGACTCCTCGGTATCATCAGCGTCAACGCCGCCACCATTGCTGTTCGAAACGCCATTACTCTGTCCATTCTGTGTGGCTGTATTGTTGACGGTGGTGCCGCCGTTAGTTGTGGGCGTTGAGGTGTTATTAAAGGCGTGATGACCATTGCCGTTAGGTGCACGCGTTACGCCCAATTGAAAGAGGCTCTCGATGGGCGCTTTAACAGGCGTATAAAAACCAAGCGGTGCTGAACCTGCATGTAAACACCAAGCGGGTGTGTCGGTGTATGGGGAGAAAAAGAAAATGAAACGATTTGTAATTAGTAAAAATGCTGTTAGTATATATGTTTGTAGTATTTAAAACTAAATATATTTATATAAAATACTTTAATAAATATAAGTGATGGTAAGGATAAATTGTTACACTTAAATGCAAAGGAATTTGGCTTTTGCTTAGAAACATGTTGTTGCGTGTCACAGTGCGTTTGTATGGCATGTAGCATGAGTGAGGACTTTTTAACACTTTTGTTGTTGTTGGATTTGTTTGCAAGATGATTTTTTAACTAATATAAAAGCCAATTAGCGCACGGTGTAGCCGGCATGCATTAGATAATGTAAATAGCATAAATTTCTGCATAAATATTATAGCGTTGCCACATTTACACTAATTAATACAATAGAAAAGATCACCAACCACCAGTCAAGCAAAGTGTATGTAATAAATGTATCATATGTTTAATTACAGCTGATAGCTACGCTAGCCAAAGAAATTGTTCACACAACAAAGGATAATAACAAGCTTGATGTATGTTTAGTTAGTTATATCTTCCGTTTAGAGCTTTGTTCCAAATTTTCTAGAGAAACCCGCATTATTTTACATTTTAATCGGTTTGCATTTTCCTAACTGAAATAACTTAAACCTTTGCAAACTGTAATCAAACGCCCGAACCGCACTATTCCGATTATATATTTAAAAAACTGGCAATGAAATAGAAAATATTTTGGTCCACTTATTTTTTGTTTTATTCTTTACAAGAAATAATTAATTAAAATAAAAATTTTGTTATAAATTCACTAAATCAATAAACGTGTTTTTGCGTATATAATTATGTGCTATCAGCGATATCAATTAAATTGCTAAATGTAACAAAAAACATTAATAAAAAAAAAAAAAAAAATTAAAAATTAATTTGAAAAAAAAAAATTAAAATTAATAAAAAAATATAAAAATTAATTTGAAAAAAAAAAATTAAAATTAATAAAAAAAAAATTAAAAATTAAAAATAAATTTAAAATAATAAAAAACAATTGAAAATTAATAAAAAAAATGTATTTATTACGCTAGTAAAAATTAAAAAAATACATAATTAATCTAAAATAAATTTTAAAAAATTTACTTATTTTAACAATAAAATCCAAAAAATAATTGTGTTAATAATTCTGATGCAAATGTAAGTAACACACAAAAAAAAAATTACAAAAAGCATTTAAAAAAAATTAAAATTAAAAATTAATTTATTACAATACTATAAAAAAACTAAAATTAATTAATCAAAAATAAATTTTAAAAATATAAATAAAAATTTAAGTTTTAAAATAATAAAAGTTAAAAATAATAATTAGAGTAATTAATTGTGTAATTATGTTAATTCTGAATTTTTAAAATGAAAAAAATAATTCGAATAATTAATTGCGTAATTATGTTAGTAATTCTGATGCAAAATATAACAAAAAAAAAATAATAATGAATAGAAAATAAAAAATATAAAAACAAAAAAAATAAATAAATAAAAATAATAAATAAAAAATATAAAAACAAAATGAAATTAACAAAAAACAAAATTAATGAAAAATACATCAAAAATTGAAAATTTTTGTTACAATAATAAAAATCAAAAAAAAGATAACAAAAGAAAAATTAAAACAAAACGTTAAAAACTAATTAAAAACATTTAAAATTTATTTATTGCAATACAACAGAACATTAAATAAAATTAATTAATCATAAATAAATTTTAAAAATAATTTTTTTTTAAATAATAAAAATCAAAAAAATAATTCGATTTATTAATTGTGTTTAGTAGTTTTACTTTACAGTGTAGAAATAAGAACCAAAATTTCAAAAGAAATTAATTTAATGTGTACATATGTGTATAGTGAAACCAAATGTAAAAATAAATAAAAAAAAAAACATAAAAAAATATTATTTCATTTATTGCAATAATAAAATTAAAAAAAAAAACATAATAATACAAAAAAATTAAAAAAAAAACATAATAATAAATAAATAATTCAAAAATATATATATTTTCAAACTTGAATTTAACTTTTTGACAAGAAAAAGCTTTGTCGGAATACAGCAGAAATTAAATATTTGGAATACTTTTAATATATGAAAATTTTTCGAAATAGAATCGCGTAAACCCGAGATATGTATTACATACATTGCAAAAAAATATGAATATAAGTAAACAGATTGATGAGCTGAGAGTTTGTGTACTAAATGTACTAATTATGTGCGAAAAAAAATTAAATTCCCCACCGCTTATCATTTCAATTTTTCACTATTGCTGCTAAAAAAAAAAATACTAGTTTGTTTTAGCTTTAGATTGGTCATGGTATTACCATAATGCCTCAAAAAAAAAATGCTAAACGAACAATTATTTTCTATTTTAAAAATCTATCAATTATAGTCAAAACTTGTCGTGTTCCATATATAGTTTTTTTTGTTGTTTGTTTCTTTTTTTTTTAAAGCCTACGACTATACATATAGTTGCCTATATAGCAAAGTAAATTAATACATTTAGTGACACTTTCGCGCAATTCGTCGTTGAAATCTAGTATACTCGAAAGTATTGCCAGCTACAAGCCAAAATTACACGTTGAAACTAGAGTTGCTAAGTGGTTTTATACAATTTCTATTAAAATTTATGATTTATTTTTTATTTATGTACGACAAGCGCTACAATGAAAGCTCGTGATTACAAATACATATTCTTACAATAATAAAACTAAGCATGCATATGTATTAGTGATGCACTACATATATACATATATACATTTTAAAATTGTTAATAAAGTGTTGAAGACGAAAAATTGCATTTTTGTTAGTGTAATACAGATAGTTATTTGCTTGCTAATAAGTAATTGTTAAATATAAACCGGTTAGTTACCTCAACTCAAACAGAACATTTTCAAAACTGGCCCAACACACGTACACACAATTCGTAGTTTCATATTTTAGTTATAATATAGGCTATTTTGCTTTATTTTCTATTTTTTATGACAATAGCTCAACATTCACTACATATTGCGCACATTTTTGCGTTTCAAATTCGAGGTTAAGCAAAAAAGTGGAATAGCAGTTGGCATTACAAGTACTTCGATCGGTTACTCATTACGCTTCCGCACATAACGTGTACACGTAAACGTGCTTACGCCACGTTTAAGGTGCTGTTGTGTGCGTTTATTGAACAGCTGTTTTTTATTTATTTTTATTTACCGTTGTAAACATTGCGAATTGTGTGTGTTGCTTATTTATTTTTGTAATTCATAGCTTGTTGCAGGTGGCATTGTTGGTTGTTGACGCGTGTGTATGACTTTGCAAAGCATTAGCATTAATTAAACGTAAGCTATAGCGACGCATAATTGCAATTATACGCGTTATGTTTTCGTTTTGATTTGTATTTTTTGGCATTTTTTATTTATGTTATGATTTTTAGTAGTATATAAAAACATTTTTGGCAGTTTCAAGTAATATTATAGTTTTAGGTGGTTGTTAGAAGTTTTAAGCAGATTTACTGTCGGGTACTTATAGTTAGCGTTAAGTATTAGATAGTTAGCAAAGTAACGGTGCTGTTGTTGGTTGGTTTGGTTGTACGAGTAGCAGACGTTCGAACGGGCGTACGGGCAGGCAGACAATTTATATAGCTTTGGTAGTATTAGCGTTTATTGTTGTAAAAATGTATTGGTTTTTTTTTTTTGGCATTTACGGAGTTTCGTAAAATTTTTATATTAATTTCTACGTTAGTTCAAATAAATGTTTTTTGTTGTCTTATTTATCGATATTTTAAACTTTTCGTTTTCATTTAACGCGCTTTTTCAGTTTAGGCACACTTACACAAACGCATTATAAATGTTATTTCGTTAAATTTTATTAAATTTTTTAATTTACATCTGCAAAAGATTCATAAAGAGTGAGAAAATGTTTGATTAGGTTTTGAATTAGAGCAATAAAGGAGAAGGGTATGAAAATGCTGTATACAGTAGGTAAAAAAATCACAATTTCAAGCGAAATTAAACAAAATTTATAAGTCTGATGAAGAATGTGACCAAAAATATGTTTAAAAGATATTGGAGAAAATAATGAAGCAGCGTAAATCGATTATTCTAACTTTCAAATTTTTTTGACATAAAAAACATAATAAATAAAAAACATAAATAATTAAATATAAAACTGAAAAAATATTCTAAAATTCCACAATTAGGTTTTTTAAGTGGCCAAATTTTTTGCCAATACAATTATTTATAAAAGTTAAGCTATTATTAAAAAATTCAATTAAAACAAAGAAATAAAAAATTAATTTAAAATAAAACATAAGTTTAAACATTTATATTAACGCGAAACTGTATTATTTTAATTTTCAAAAATTTTCGAAAAATTTATTAGTAAAAAAATATTTTAATAATGTAATAAAAAATAAATTTAAAAAAAAACTGAATTAAGTTTAAAAAATGCAAGTTATTACGATTAAAAAATTATTAATAAAAGTTAATTTGTTATCAAAAAAAAAAATTTAAACAAAAAAAAATATCTAATTTATTATTATTAAAAAAAAAAAATATAGGAATTAAGCATAAAAAAGGCAAATTTTTAACATTAAAAGATTTATTTATCAAAGTTAAATTAAACATATTAAAAAAAACATAATTAAATAAAAATTAAAAAAAAACACAATTAAATAAAAATTAAAAAAAAAATTTTAACTAAAAATTTAAAAAAAAAAATTTTAATAAAAAATAAAAAAATTTAAATAAAAATTTAACAAAAACATAATTAAATAAAAATTAAACAAAAAATCTAATTTATTAGTGTTAAAAAAAAAAACTACCAAATAAAATAATATATATAAATTGTTTATTTTAAAATTAAAAAAAAAAAACTTAAATAAAAAATAACGCGAAACTGTATTATTTTAACATTAAACATTTTCCGAAAAAGTTATTATTTCAATTATTCTTAACAGAAAATTAT